GGTGGAGATGTGGGGTGAGGGACATGGGGCAGTGGGGACCTGGCAGTGCTGGTGGACTCCAGGATCTTCAAGGTCTCTCCAGCCCAAACGATTCAGTATTTCTGTGCCTCTCTGCCCCCCTGGCTGTGTGGTGGTTGCTCGAGGTCCTTGTCCAGAACTCAGATTTCTGGATGAACAGGCTGTTCAAACATACCCCCCTCATTTTCTCCAGAGACCCCGGTGTCACTCCCTCTCCCCTCGCCAAGGTGGCCCCGACTTTTCGGGGGCAGGGTGCCCACAGACCGTGCCCCAGGCTGCCCGGAGCTGGCCAAGTTCAAAGCCAGACCCAGCCCGGACCAGCTCCAGCTCCCAGAACAAAAGCTGGAGCTCGGCGTGGTGTGTCCCTGCTGCCATCTGCCGGCCCTGCCCCCGCCGCAGTTCCTCCCCCTCCTCCTCCTCTTTTGTTTGTCACTAAATCTCGGCCCTTTTTCTGTGTTTCTTTTTCCCCCCCCAGCCTCATGGATCGGGAGGTGGCGTTGCTGGCTGAGATGGACAAAGTCAAAGCAGAAGCAAGTAAGATTGGGAGGTTGTGCCCGTGCAGAGCTGCAGGGTTTGGGGATTTCCCTCCTGCTGGTCCCAAAGCCAGGGCTCTGGACCCTGATAAAATGAGCCCTGTGGTTGCTGGTGGTTGTTTTGGGCCCCAACATCCAAGAAGGAGCTTGAGGGGCTGGAGTGTGGGCAGAGAAGGGCAACGGAGCTGCTGGGGAAGGGTCTAGAGCCCAAGTGTGGGGAGGAGCAGCTGAGGGAGCTGGGGGTGCTGAGCCTGGAGCAAAGGAGGCTCAGGGGAGACCTTCTGGCTCTGACACCTCCTGACAGGAGCCTGGAGCCAGCTGGGGGGAGATCTCTTGTCCCCAAGGGATGGGATGAGAGGAACCAGCCTCAAGTTGCCCCAGGGGAGGTTTCAGTTGCCCCTGAGGAACAATTTCTTGCCCTGGAGGGTTGCCCAGGGCTGTGCCAGGCTGCCCAGGGCAGTGGTGGAGTCCCCACCCCTGGAGGGGTCCCCAAGCCGTGGAGATGTGGGGTGAGGGACACGGGTTGGGTCCCATCCTGCCCGTGCTGGGGGGTGGTTGGACTCCAGGAGCCCTCTCCAAGCTCTCTCCCAACCCACACCACAGGATGATTCTGCATCCAGGTGCCATTGGCTGCCTGACACTTGACTCAAACCATCCTGAGGTCACTGCTTGGTGCCTCGTCAGACACAAACCCCTCCTCCCTGGGGGCCCCTTCCCCAAAACATCCCGTGG